AGGTTCTTCTCTATTGGAGTCAGATCTAGCACAAAGGAAGATGTTTGTGATTGTTGGAAGTCAGTCATCTCAGCTCCAGAGTATCTGTGCAAGAATTCCTCAGGGTCGAATCCTAGGCCCAATCATCTTCAGCTACGTCATCAATGACCTTCCTTCCATCATAAGGACAGGAATGGGAATGTTCGCTGATGATTGCACAATGTTCAGCACGATTCATGACTCTTCAGACACTGAAGAAATCTATGTCCAAATGCAGCAGGAGCTGGATAATGCCCAGGTTTTGGCTGACAAATGACAAGCAACATTCAAGCCACAAAAGTGCTAAGGAATGACCATCTTCAATAAGATAATCTAACCAACATCCCTTGACATTCAAAGGCAATTCCATCACTGAATTGCCTATTATCAACATCCGGGAACTTGTTAGCCCAGTTCAGTTTCTGATCAGTAGTCATATAAATATTGTGGCTACTAGAGCAGGTCAGAGGCTAGAAATCTTCAGTGAGTAACTCACCCCCAGACTCCCCAAAGCATGTCCACCATTTACGAGACACAAGTCAGGAGTGTTCTCCAGTTGCCTGGATGGGTGCAAATTCAACAGCACTCAAGAAGTTTAACACATTCAAGACAAAGCAGCCTGCTTTCTTGGTACCATATCTACAAACATTTGCTCCCTAGATTACCAATGCCCAGTAACAGAATATACACCATCTACAAGATATGCTGCAGCAATGCTCCAAGGCTGCTTAGATGGCACCTTCCAAACACATGACCACTAACATGGACAAGGGCAGAGAACAGATGGGAACACCACAACCTGCAAGTTCCCCTCCATGCCACTCACCATCCTGACTTGGAAATATATTGCCATTCCTTCAGTGTTACTGTGACAACATCTTAGAACTCCCTCCCTAACAGCATTGTGGGTGTACCTAGAATAAATGGACTGCAACTCTTGAAGGTGGAAGCTCATCACCACTTTCTCAAGGGCAATTGGGGATATGCAATAAATACAGTGACATCCACATCCCCTTAATGAATTTTTTAAAAATCCAATTGAATCCCAGAACAGGTTTAAAGAGGCTGAATGGCCTTCATTTCTACATTTCTATTTATCTATCTAAATCTTGTGTTATGTTAGCTGCATTTTTTGATCAATTATATTCTAATACTAGACATCATCGTTCTTTCAACCAATATTTTAAGCTGGCTTAGCAGTGGTACGTTCATCAGTGATTCATCAAGTTGTGGACTGACATCAGACTCCATTGCATAGCCTGACATTTCTTTCCAGTGTAACGTAATCAGACGAATAACAGCAGACCATGGCTAGATAAAGGTCTAGACATAAATAATTAACCACTTTCCCTTATAAGTAGATGGTGTACTCACTCGTATGATTACCTTCCTGCCAGATTGTCATGGAATCTTTTAGAATTAAAGATTAATCTCTGGATCCGCTTGCAAGCAAAACCATTTGAAAATCATAGTGGACATTTTTATCACCTGTTCTAATCAAGCCAGACTCTTAACACATAGCAAGGGTATAACACAACTAGTATACAATGTAGCCATGACATGAGTCTTATGGTAAACAGGATAGAGACAGAGCAGTTATTTGCAACAAGTATTGTGGAAATTGCAGCCCCCATTATTGTAGCAATTAGTGATCAGAGCATGGGGTGGGTCAGTGAACTTAATTAATAATAAAAAAAGAAAATACCAGAAACAAAAGTGAAACATTAAATGCCAGGTTTTCCAGGTCCTCACATGACTTCTGCACTTTGCAAAGTGAGTGCTGAGGAAGAGCAACTCTTGACAATTGTTCCCCACTTTAGCCTCAAAAAATGAGGCCACTAACAGTGCCACGCACCCACCTTTGCTCTGGTGGAGATCAGCTGATGACAACAAAGGTATTAAACATCTGGCCTCTTGACTGCTTCCAGCATCTCCAGTTTATATTTCAGGTGCTCATCTATTGTCTTTGGAATTCCCTTCCTCAAAAGGCAGTGGGTGCAGAAATTTTAAATATTTTTAAGGCAGAGGTAGATGGATTCCTGATTACCAAGAGAATGAAAGAAGTAAGCAGGAATGTCGAATGTTAAGGTTAAAATCAGATCAGCTGATCAGACAGTATTGCAGGCTTGAAGGACTGAGTGGCCTACGTGTGTTCCTTGTTGGCACATAGGATTTCTGATTGTGTGTTCTGTCACAGTGATGCTGGCTTTTGCCTACATCAGGGCATATGGACCTGATGAGGAAATAGTTACGTTAGCCCCCATTACATGTGAACTGGATGTGGGTGCCATACAGAAAGATTCCGAAGAATTTTATTATAACTCATGGTATACACATATATTGAAATCATTGCCACAACAGGCTGAATCATATGTATTTTTTGCCTAAGTGTCAGTTGCATTGAGTTTTTTGGAGGGTTTCTTGTGCGAAACCTAGATAACTTTCTCACCATATCTTACTAACCTTGCCTTATTAACTACTTGCCCTACCCCTATGGCCTCCCTGTTATCTGATTTGAGCCCCACTTTATACATGCTATTCCTGGAACAATGTGCCACTGATGTTTTCTGGAAGCCTCACAACCACTGGAAAGTCCCATGCATATCGATCAGTGTAGAGAC